CATAAGATTAAAAAAATACAGTTCTAACAACTTCCACCACAATTACTATTACCACCTTAGACCAAGCCACCATCATCCATCAATTCTATCCTACCTGTTGTCTATGCTTCCATCTTTGAAAGACCCCAGTACTGAAAATTATCGGTGGCTGCTTATCCCACACAGATTAAACCTAACATTGGTTTACAGGCTATTACGTGAATTGAGACCTATCATGTTCCCAGACACATCTCCTGTCATTACCCTTCCCTTGGTGCCCACCTCTAATGACACTAGAATGATGCCACATAATTCTATCTGTAGGGTCTTTCTATGGGCTTTACCTGGTATGTTCTTGCCCTTGGTACCTTCATGGCTAACTCCCACTTCCCCTTAAGGCATTATTCAAATGTACCCCTCCAATCTAAGCTATAGTAACTACCCAGTTCTAAACTGAAAGCTTCATTCTCCTCCATGCTTTTTTTCTTTACAGAAATATCACTGTTTCCTGAGAAAGCATCTTTCTTGGACATCAAGTACAGGAGCATGACTGAGCGAGAGTCTCCTTTGCTGTTCTCTGAACTCCAACTCTGTGTTTGCATCTAAGCTGTATTTCCCAGGGGCTACTCCCAGCCAGTCATTGAATGTGACAGGAATACTAACGTCTACACAGGAGCACTCTTATAGTTGCCCTTGGCTCCAGGACTCCCAAGTACCATGGCCAATGTCCCTTAGACAGCACTGCAGAATCAGCTGCTCCCACACAACTTTTTCTCCACTGAGATTCCCAAACTGTTCCAGTTTCAGCCTTTTCTGCTTACCTCCCAGTTTTCTCTCATATGTTCATTTCTCACGTTATGTATACGTAGCCTTTCTTGGTGTTTGTTTCTCAGAAGGCCCAGAGTAACAAAATTACCCTATCTGTTGCATATTATATTTGTCTTTTATTGCTTACTAGGACATGAATTTATAGAGAATAATAATTTGTTTATTTAAGAACCCCAAACACTAGCACAGTAGTGCCGATGGGCATTCAGTAAACCAATGCAGGGTGAATGACTGAAAGTGCTTGAAAAATATCATCAGCTTTAACAATATTAATTGTGTGAATGGATAAACACACAATCTTTATCAGCTCCTTTCTAAATTCCTCTGGCTTGCCTCCCCTTCCCTGATAGAAAAATCTTTGTGTTTTCCTATACCAGAAATGAGATCTGGGTGATAAATTGGTTTTAGGAAAAAATCCACATTATTAATTGGCTGATAGCCCATTGGTTTGGGCAAGCAAATGCAGAATTCTGATGGAGATATTCATCATGGTTGCTTTCTTGTCCTTAGCATCAGTCAGTATCTACAGTAAAATAAACAAAATCAAAAACTTTGAAGATATAGTCTTTGGTTTTTTTTTCTTTGTTTAAATATCCATCCAATGATAATCAAATTTGATCCCTTACACTCTACACCCAAATTTCTCTTGAGAACGAAAAACAAAGACCAACTTTTCTCAAGTATGATCTCAGACTGTTTTCAAAATGTGTTATTAATCACGTGTATATGGGTACATGCCTACAGAGCCTCTGGTGTCAGACCTCCTAGATCTGAAGTCACAGGTGATTATGAGTGCCTGACATGGATGCTGGGAATCAAACTGAGGTCCTCTGGAAGAGCAAGACATGTTCTTAAGCACTGAGCAATCTTTCCAGCCTCTGGACTCTTTTTTGTTTTGTTTTGTTTTAATTTTTTTTAAGTTAGCTTACAAAATAATGTATTCCCATACAGGATCTTCAGACACAATTCATTTTGGTTTGTTCCTTAACCCCCAGACCCCGCCTCCATTTCTCTGACTCCCTTTCCTTACAGCACTCTTTCTTCTGCAGTACTGTCCCATTCCACCTAGCTTTATTTTCTTCTCCATCCCCCTCCCTCTTTTTTTCTAGTTCCATGGAACCTGTGGTGGTTTCAGTAAGAATGACCTTCCTAGGTTCATCCATGTGGATGCTTGGTCCAAAGTTAGTAGAAGTGTTTTAGGAAGGACTAGGAGGTGTGGCCTTGTTGGAAGCGGTGTGTCACTGGGGATGGGCTTTGAGGTTTCTATCTGCCTACAGTCTGGGAATAAGATGTAAGCTCTCAGCACCATGCCTGCCTCCTGCCATGCTCCCCTCCATGATGGTCATGAACTCACCCTCTGAAACTGTAAACCAGCCCCCAATTAAATCATATATAAGTTGCCTTGGCCTTGGTGTCTCTTCTCAGCAGTAGAGCAGTAAATAAGACAGAACCCTTTCTAGTTTCCTCATGCTTGCCCATATTAACTCCCACCTGTATATGCGTAGCTAACATTTAGACATGCATACCCTTATTAACTCCCATCTGAATACACAGTTAACAGTTAGACATGCTTACTCATATTAACTCCCATCTGTATACACATAGCAAACTGTTAGAGGCCACAATTCCCATGAGAGAGAAAAACATACAGTATTTGTCTTTCTGAACCTGGGTTACTTTACATGAAATAATGTTTTCCAGTTCCATCCATTCCTACAAATTTCGTAACTTTGGTTCTCTTTATGGATGAATAAATCATCACATTTTCTTTATCCATTCATCTGTTGACAGATGTGTGGATTCTAGTTCCTTGCTACTATGAAATGAATTGCACTAAGCATGGATATAGAAGTATTTTAATAGGAGGACATGGCATCCTTTGGGTGGATCCCTAGGAGTAGACTAGCTGGATCATATGTTAGTTCTATTTTTATTTTTATTTTACAAACCTCCACACTGATTTCTACAGTGGCTACATTAGTTTACACCCCCACCAACAATGTACATGTTCTCCTTCCCCACATATTTACCAGATTTGTTGTCACTTGTTTTCTTGATGGTGGCCATCCGTGCTGCTTTAATTTGTATTTCTGATGGCAAGACATGCAGAACACTTTTTGAAATATTTGTTGACCATTTATTCTTTTTTTTAAATTGTATTTCTTCTGTTTAGAAATCAGCCCATTTATCAATTATCAACATTATTTCTTTTTTAATTTATTTTATTTTTTTGTACATTGGTGTTTTGCTTGCATGTGTCTGTGTGATGGTGTCAGATCCCATGGAAATGGAGTTACAGGAGTTGTTAGCTGCCATGTGGATGCTGGGAATTGAACCCAGATTTTCTGAAAGAGCAGCCAGTATTCTTAACTGCTGAGCCATCTCTCCAGTCCATCAACTTTATTTCTTTGGTATCTAATTTTTGTCATTCTTTATGTATCTAGATATTAAACCCCTTGTGATTTCAGATTCTTGAAAGTGATGAGCTTCCTGTGCAGATGACTGACTCAGGGTGTGGCCTCTGTGGTTGGGGAGATCAGAATAAAAAGTATGAAGCACTCTTATTTCACTAAGTTCTGTAAATTTCTCCAGAATAGAATAGCATAGGGTTCTGCCTACAGTTTTCCATCTAGCTGTTAAACATCCTTGGAGGTTGGTGGAGGAGAATGTTAGGGTCCAACTCCCTCATAAAGATTGATTTAAACTTCAGCCTGTGTCTCCCCTTGTCCTGTGTCCTTGGGCATTGCTTAATGAATGTCTGTTACAAAGTCAGACAGCTGACATTCCCTTCCTGGCTTTGCTACTCATTAGCCATGTGGCAAATGATATCCCTGAGCCTGTTGCCTCATTTTAAAATAGGAATAATAGCACCTATCACTCAACACCTCAAAGATAAATAAGATGAAATGCTTTTGTCTATGGACAAATATTGGCTACTACTATTACAAATATCAGAAAGACAAAGAAATGTAAGCCATGCAGTGCCAGGCTTGTCTATTTAACCTCTCTGGCTGAATGGCAAAATTAAGGGGCTGATAGCATCCAAACAATAATAACGTGGTGGATGGTAATTGGGGTTCACTACATCAAACTGCACCTAAAGAAAAGGTGGGGAAAAGAAAACAAAGTCAATTGCAGAGCTTCCTGGCCTCTGTTTTGACCTGAGTTTCACCAGGCTTCACTGCCTTCCTCTAAAGGGTAGGACTATCCACCTAGGGTTCCAGAATGTCTGGTCGCACTTTTACAGGCTCACCCCTCTCTCTTGCATAACTGCTGAGGTCAAAATGGGCACCTTTCCGAAACTGAAGAGTGTCATTTCTGAATGGCATCCAGAAAAAAAGCAGCTGCATTCCCCAGACATCCAAGGACAGCACCAAGAACTCCCAGGGAGCCAGCTTTTTAATACTGGTGCCTTAACACCTTTGATTTTTGCAAGACCTAAGATTCCAAGGTCTGTGCCAGAAGGCTGGAGGTGGGACTTTGGGAGGGGAGGGAAGCTTAATTCTACTATCAAGAGTTCCCAGGTAACTAACTACAGGAGACATCATTACCTAAAGCCAAGCAGGGGGGGATGACAAACAAGTGACTTGGCACTTCTGCCCCAGTCTCTGTCTCTGAGTGAGGTGTGTGTGTGTGTGTGTGTGTGTGTGTGTGTGTGTGTGTGTGTGTGTGTGTGTTCTGTGTGTGTGTTTTCTGTGTGTGTGGTAAGCTAAGTGAGGTAACTTTAAACACAGACTCACGACACACAGGGTGTGCTGTGGGAACACTGGCTGCCCTGACCTCCGCAGGCACAGCAGTTCCCTGTGCCACTCCTGGAAAATAATGACCTGGATAAGGAACAGTTAATAAGAAAATGTGCCTTGCTAACCGTGCGCAGAACAACAAAGAGCTGGCAGCCCCTGAAGGAAAAGGGCTTGTGCGGCTGCCGTTCAAACTTGTCAGTCAACTCGTGCCAGCAGCCTCAGCGTCTGCCTCCCCAGCACACTCTCATTACATGTGTCTGTCTGGTCTCATCTGTACCTCGGCTCAGAAACCTCCTGACAAGCCGGGATTCTCTCCCTTTCTCACTGGTGCAAAGAGCGGATTTCTCTCCCTGTCTCTTTTGTCACCTCTCGCTCCTCTCCCCAAGGAGGCACCTTGATTTATGGTAGCTCGGGACTTCCTTCAGCGTCTGCCTGTCCTAGACTTCTAGAATGGAAGAAGCTGAGCTGGTGAAGGGACGACTCCAGGCCATCACAGTAAGTCTGCATAGAGTTTTGTCATTAAGGTGGCTGCTCAGATGAGCGGCACCATTGCTAGCTATCCTTCGGTCCTCACAAATGGAAAAAAGGAACTGTCAGCCTTTGTGGACTTCTCTCTGTTTCTCTTAACCCTTGTGACCCTCTGTGACACTGGGGCTTCAGAACCTGAGATCAAGGAAAATGCTTGTGGATTTTATAGATGGTTTTTTCTTTTTAAGCAGTAATCAAGAGGCTTTGGGGGGTTTTGTTTGGTTGGTTGGTTGGTTTGGTTTTTTTAAGTACTTTGTAAAGCCTCACTCGCCTTCTGCAGATATAAAAATGGAGATTTTCCTTCAAATTCCTTCTACCTGACAAAAAATTTAGTGGATAGTCAAACACAAAACTTTTCAAAGCAATGCATATAACCCCCAAAGTTATTTTTTTTAAAGGAGGAGACCAAAAGGAAGAAAATCTGAAACTTTCATTCTTAGTGTCATCGTATATTCCAGAAAACCAGCAAAGCTTGATATATACTCAAGCGACGTTTTAAACAGGAGGAAAGTTGGGAAGGCACGCACGAAAGTAATTCTCAGAGATCAGTTTTCCAGTGCAGTCATAGCCCGAATAAGATCTCGATAAAGGAATGCCATGCGTGAGATGGATTGGAAAATATTTCCCTAGTGCCAGAAAGAAAAGTAGTGCATTTTGTGTTTTTCTGGGAAAGAGTCAAAGCAAGAAATGAATTACTTTTCTTAAGTGATACTATTCTTTTCTTTTACTTCCAAACTGTTGTATCTGGCAGTAACCTGGAAGGCCATGGCCCAATCATCCGTCATCATTAGCTGTAACTGGTGATAGCATTTTTTGAGGAAAGGCAACTTTGCCAGCTCACACCCCTTTGTGTCACATTTTCTGCCACTGAAATTAACAGTCAAAAAGAAGTACTTTTTTCCAAACTGGCACTAAATCATGGAAGGCACAAGGTTATTCCTCTTTGCTCTTCAAATTCTCATATTAATTAAGCTAATTCTAATTTAGGATTTTTTTTTGTCTTACTACATGAACACAGTGGGATTTTTTTTTTTTTTGCTTCTACCCAGAAAGGATTCAATAAATAAAAATATTTCTTCACCATTGAAAAGAAGATAGGAGTCCACAGATAAGATTGGACACTTTTCTATTAATGGTACTTTTTGATTTCTGAATTCTAATTACTGTATTTTTCCTTTCATCAAAAAAAAAAAAAAACCTTGGCCAGGATTTTTGTTTGTTTTGTTTCGTTGTTAAATCCAGCCCCAGTTTCAGCTGTCCTCCTTGAAGGGACAGGAACTCCACTGTGCCCTGTTGTTCTTGGCATGCTCCTTTCACGTTACAGCTGTTGTCTAAAGGTTACTTCACTGCACCGAGTTGTTCAGGACTAGGTTCCCACCACCATCACCACCACCCAAAGAGTCTATCGCCTAAATAACCAGATGAAACCATGTACTCAATGAACTTCTGTGTCTCTTCTACTGTTGTGGGGAACATCCTATTTTAAAGTCTTGTTAGACATGGTGTGCAATTAGACCATTTAGTGAAGTAGTACATGGTCCAAACAGATGGCTGCATACAGTTATTCAGAGAGCCTAGGAATTTTCATTGAGGGTTCAAATGCAAACAGAGATAGAAGGTAGGTCGTAACACCTTAAAAGGAATTGAGTGGGTTGGTTCCTGAATATAGAGATTTTTTAATTATTAAAAATAATAAACTTTTTTAATTATCCTGTGAGTCTAAACATATCCCATTAGAGTTAATTAAGTCTTTGAAATAAGGTCACAAAATTTAGCTTGAAAGTAAAATTCTTGCTTAAAGCCCGTAGGGCAAAAACTGGCAAAAGTTTATAGGAATAAATTTCCATTAGCCTGCACCTCACAAGGCTCAGTCACATTTGTCACCACCTAGAGGGGAAATGAAGCAATGCTGTGTCCATGGAAACAACACAACTGCTCTCCTCCTAGGCACCCTGGGAAGTGCCAGCTTTCTCCACCCTTGCCTTGCCCAGGAAGCCACCCCAGCTATTCTTTCTACCTAGGAAAAGAAAACACACAGTACACAAGGAACTTTCAAGAATTATCTCATTTTTTGAAAGGCATTAAAATTATGGGACCCTGATCTAGACTAAAACTCAGAGATAAGCATTTAGCCATTCTCCTACACTGAAATAATTTCTATATGCACCAACCGCAGCATCAGAAGCATCTCCCTAAGACACAGCAACACACAGACTTCATTTTCTTAGGAAAGAAAGCAAAAACATCCTTGACACTTTGAGAGCAGTTTGATATTTTATTAAAATATGATCCTCTAACTCTCAGCAATAAAAAAAAAACTCCATTATTATACTTATTCCACAGGGTTTCAAGTGACTAAAAAGGCATTCTTTTTACTGTGAATAACTGAAAAAATTTCATCTGCATATAATTGGGCTGAACCAAGTGACAATATTACTTTAAAAATATTTTAACCCTGTGATGACACCATTCCTTTCTCACACCATTAAATATAATTTTAAGATTGTTTGTAAATTTTCTCAAAGATTTAAAAACAATGTGGGCCAAATTATGAATGTACTCAGGAATGGTTTAAAGGAGGGCGTGTCACTCTGGATGGTCCAAATAGACTCTTTCATTAACTACATTCACATTCTGTCTTCATTATTCCACCCCATAGCAACTCTGCATTTGCTACATTGATGACCAAAATACTCATTAGTCAATGAGTTCCATTCCCAACTGTCATTTGAAAACAGGGCAACTTTACACTGACTAAATATCATACTTTGACCCCCAACAGTTTCTTGAGCCTATTTTCAAGTTAGTGCACATTTAACAAATAACTGATTTTTATATAGACAAAGAGGTGTTGAAATAAATTTTTAATCCCACCTCTTTTTTTTTTTTATGAAGTCCGACTATTTAGCCCTGGGTGGCTTAGAATTCACCATGTGTACTAAGCTGGCTTTGAACTCACACAGATCTGCCTACTTCGACCTCCAAAGTGCCATGATTAAAGGTGTGGGCCAACACACTCAACTTGAAATTGATATTTAGTGTTACTGGAAACGGTGATATCAAAGAGATCTCTACAGAGCTACTCCCTGGAAGTAAACACAGTCCAAAGTTAAGAAGAGAAAAAAAAATCCTGGATGGGTTCCTAGAGAATAGAGATCCCCCTTAGAGCATCCAGTCAGTTCTCATCCCCTTTCATGGGGAACATATTGCCATATCTTAATTCCACTGGAAATGTCGGAAAGTACAACACCTAATATAGCAGGAATCAAATGGAAAGACTCCTGGATCTTAAACATCTGGAGATTATAGACTTGGGAACTCAGGGTGTTTCTGGGAAATGTTCTGATGAATTCTGAGAACTAAAGTCGATTTGCAGAGAACAGACCCAGTTAGGAGATGTGAGGTAATGAGTTAGCTGGTCTGTTTATTCTCACTGAAAGGCTCAACTTTGATGGTTAAGGATGTGCATATCAACTCATTCGTTCACACCTTTATTCAAAGTCTGATCATATATTGAGTCTAATGCATTTATTTTGAAAGTTTTATGAGGAGAAATCTGAAGCATCAGATCTGAAGATGGCAAAGGGCTGCAGCTCTGACTGGAGTGATGGAGTGGGGTGGTTTGGGAGGGTGGGCCTCCCGAAAAGGGTGGCACCTGGGCACAGGCATGAAGGAGGTGGGCTCTATCAAGAGTTAAACCACAGCAGAAATCCAAAGCCAAAGCACCTGCCTAGGCCTCCCTCCATTTGGCAAGGGGCCACAGAAAGTCCTGACTTTGCAATCTGAGCAACGGAGCCAGGTTTGCAGGCCAAAGCTGTCCGTGATGCAAAATAAGAAGACTCTCTCACATTTCCCTGGATCCACTCCCTATTTCTCTCCACTCCCAGTGAATATTTTCTTGACTTGTAAATATAGGAATTTAGGAAGCAAGAAGTTCTTGCAGGAAACAGATGGATTCTCCCCATTTAATAAAATCATAACTTAATACCAATTCTTGACAGCTCTTTACTTCACGATCCCTGCTTCTGGGCACCCCACTCACTGTGTTCTGTTTTTGTCAATATTTTGGATCATCTTGCAGTCGGTGAAGTATCTGATTCCCCAGAAGCAGGATATCCTGTGAAAATGTCAGGGCCCCAGTACACAACCAAAAGGCAAGGACCCAATATTTGAGATTTCAAGGTAGTGACACCAAAATATTATACTCATACCTGAGCCTTTCTGAGAACAGTGTCTCTTGTGCCTTCATGGACCACATACTCAAGAAGCCATTCCTGTTTTTATATTCTTGACCCAGCATATCCAATCTCCCTGTTTAGTCTACCTATGCAAAGGAAACAGTGAAACCTAGAGCAAGCCAGCTTGGTTATTGACCAGCTGTATACCTCTTAATTGTGTATTGTGTAGAGGTCCAAAGACTTCTTAAGGCACCAGTGTTTACAGGACTGTGTAAGGAACCATTGTTAACCAGTGTACTTCCAAGTTAGACATAGCTTTAACAACAGTGTCCAGCTTATCAGGAGTGTGAAGACACAGCAATCTCCTAAAGAGTCCCTGAGCCAGAATATTCAAACAATGATGCTCTGCACAGTCTTCCATGGTGTTATACCAAGATTACATGTTTCTTCCAAAGTAGGAGAGGTTTCTTCAAACAAATGTGCCACGTTTCTTTGCCAAACACAACAACCCACCCATACAGGAGGTCATATGATGAGGTACAATAATCTCGATAGCTCATTAAGGAAACTTCTTTCTGATCTTGGAAAGGTTTTTCCAATGTGCTACCAGATGATAAAGCTACTCTGCTAGATCCTTTACTAATGGAATTTTCTGGACCTCCCTGGCTGGTCTAAAGAAAAATCTGCTTCTTTAGAAAACTATGACTAAAACAAAGTCTAGTGTCAGTGTTTAACTACAGTCTTAAACAAATGTTTCCTGTTTCAATGCTAATATTGAAACAGAATTTT